TTTGGCTTTAAATGAGAGCAAATCGAGAGAAGATCGAGCGGAGATATGCCCCTATACCATTTCTTGCTTAGGTGTCTCTCTATCTAATACTATAAAGTATTAACCCTTCTCTTAATTATTTATGCGGCTTCAAAATACTCCCATAAATAAATAAATACTTTCATTTTGATTTGCCAATTACCAAACATGCCTCGACCATATACACGCATATATGCCATCTCTCTTCTTCTTCTTTCTTCTCTCTCTCACTTTATATAAACATTTACAAGTTTTTCAGAGCTTTATCATTGTGGGGATTTCCTCTTTTTCTGCTAAAGCCTACACAAAGAGAGATTGAGCCGTTTCTGGTTGAGGTTAGCTAGCTCTATAACTTCTCTTGTTTTAGATTTCGCTCATGTTTTTTGGTTTCTTTGTTGTTTTTCTTGCTCATTGTGCCTTTTGTTGTGAGTTGTTTTGTGATAGAAAGAAAGTGTGCTGTATCTATATCTATATCTATATATCTCTCTCGCTCTAGCCAGCTAGCTTTCTTTCTTCTGCTTGTTTGCCGAGAAAAAGTATTGGATAGGGAAGAAATCACTGAGGAAAAAAAAAAGAGTTCTTTTCGCACAAACTTATTTGATAGATAGCAAAATGGGGCTGCGGCAGCCGGCCTGCCCTAGCTTGAGGACCAGTCTTTTGGTCTATACTACTTGATATAATGTCATATTATTTTCCCATTCAATATTTTTCACATGATTAATTTTCTTTCATTTTGAAGAAAAAATCTTCCCATTTTTATACAATAATTTGATACCCTTTTCATGATTTAGGTTATTGATCATGTTTATGAAAAAACACATTGGTTTTGGGAACTCCTTTCTTTAAATGGATAGTTTTTTAGTTTGCATTTTAGCCCTAACAAGTTATTGGTATTGGTAAATCTCATACCCCCATGTCTTGAAATTGCCATTCACCATATGGGCATTTAATAGTTCTCATTTTCCTCCAAGTTCCCCGGCACTAAGCTTGAGATAACACTCACTCAAATTCATTAAAAATACAAAAACACAAAAATTCATAAAAATAACTAGTAATTATTGAAGTAATTTAATTAACATAAGTTTTATGTGGGTATTTTTTTAAATATTGGTATGGGTATTTTTTTTTTACTATATATATATAATTTTTTACATTAGGTCTTGATAGTTTAACATGTAACTTAGTGCATATACACCAAGATGAACTTTATATGAAAAAAATAGATAAAAATAAATAAAATAAAAAAGACACATTTTGCCATAAAAGAATAATACACAAAGTGCTTAATATTAGATCTCACACACCCCACTAATGCACGTGTGGATCATAATCTCTTGGACAGAGAAATTTGATGCCATTGCCAGATGGGTATAGATATTAGATAGCTTCATCAATTTTTATTTATTTATATTTTGGAATGAATAAACAAATTATTATTATTATTATTATTAATGGAAAATTTAATTAATTAAATGAAGAGAGATCACATCACATTGGCAGACAAAAACAGCCGTTCATGGTCCATTTCATTTAGTTTTTCTTCACTTTACCCCAACATTGTGATCCAAACATCCAATGTGACTTGCTAAAGTTTCAATTATTTTGAAAGAGAAATTATTGTGCAAAAAATACCAAGATATTCAACTTTCTTTCCCATTTCCTTAGACAATTATCCATTATCCATGGTTCATGTCTAAATACTAGTAAAAAAATATCATTATTAGAATAATTTTTCGTTATAAAAAGAATATGAATTGTAAATTTTATAATGATAATGCTTTAATACAAAAATATTGAACCTAAACTTAGAATATTTTCTCGTTTAAAAAAAATTATTAACAGTGAATATCATGTATGGCCTTATTATAGTTTTGCCGACTTAACATTTTGCTTTGATTGATCATAAGGTCGTGTCATTTTGAAAAAAAATTGATGATTTAAAAAAATAATGTTACATTTTTATTAGTAATATAGTTTTAAGTTTTGTGGTAACTCTTTGACGTTAACAAATAAATGAAAACGAAACACTTATAACATCAAACGTTCAAAATAAAAAATAAAAAATAAAAAATTATTAATTCAGAAAAATATTAATACATACACATTAGGTTAAGTGATAATATTTTTTCCTTGAAATACATACACAGGGCGTTTGGTTCGGGGAATGTTAGATTACTGAAAATGTTGGATTACTGGAAAGATAGATTACTAGGAATCTTTAGGAAAATATGTTTGGTTAGTTAGTGGGTATGTTATATTAATATGTTTGGTTATGGGAAATAAATTGGTTGGTATGTTATTTAAATTACTAAATTGTCCCCTTTTTAAATATTAATATAATATTATTTTTATTATTAATTTTTGAATATTTTTTTTTAACCCTCAATATTTCAGATTTAGCTAAAACACCCTGCTTATATAAAACTTTAATTTATGACAAAATCACCGCCACCTCTTGCCGCCCCCTGCCGCCATTGCAAACCACCGTCAGAAGTCTTCGAAAGTCCATGTGAGTAGCTCACCGTGACCAAGAGGCTCCGAAAACGGTCTTATCAGGCCGGAAATGGCCAAATCTATTCTGGCCATTTCCAACCAGATCGATGGATCTGGCCGTTAATGGCCAGATCTGTTAGCTAACGACCATGTCTATGGCCGTTAACGACCAGATCTTGTCTAGATCTGGCCGTTAACGGCCAGTTCCATCAATTTGGCCTGATATGGTCGTTTTCAGCCATCAATATGGCTGAAAACTGCCATATCGAAGCCTCCCAGAGCCTCCCACCGAATCTCGTTCTTTTCTAGGGACTCCAATGACTTTCCGACGGTGGTCCGTGGTGGTTGGCCCGTTGTCGACGGTGGTGGCTAGGTGGCAGTGGTGGTGATGGCTGGGTGGCAATGGTGGTTTGTAAATTGTTTTAAATATAAGGGTATTACTGTCCAAAATTTTAATTAAACAAGGGTAAAATTAAAATAGGATATTAATGTAAATTTCTTTTAAAATAGGGGTATTATTGTCCAAAACATTTATTAATAAGGGATAAAATTATAACACAAAAATATAATTTTGATAATCTTAAAATACCTAAAAAAATGGAGGTAATCAGATTACCTCCAATATTACCAATAGTAACCATTATTGATATTTAAAGATTACTCCAAACATGGTTATTAAGTAATATAAGATCACTTACCCGTAGTAATGTCAAATACCCTCTCACCAAACGACTCCCAAAAGGTCACTCAGAAACAACCAATCATGATTCTGTCAAAATCAACGGTTGAAAATTAAGTGGAAGCAGTGTGGTCACAAGCATCAATAGGTCCCACTCTCAGACACAGAGAGTGACACTTATTTTTGGACCCATCTCACCATTCTTATAATAAGCCATGTTCCATCTTATCACTTCCGCCCCGCCCCCCCCCCCCCCCCCTTCTGTCCGTACATCCTGTATCTCTCTGCTTTCAACCTCGTCCGTACAAAATCTTTCTCTCTATCTCTACCATGAAAAATTAGGTTATTACATTCACTCCTTCGAGAACCCTTTAATTAAAAATCTCTTCGATAAATTAGTTATCTACAATAGCCCTTTATATAATTTCATGAATAATGGAGGGCTCGTAATAAATCTTAATTTAGTAAAAGATAAATTCGAAAAATTTAACAATACCACATAGGTGACATATGCTATGCCATAATTGTTATATTTGGATTTTTTAATCTTTTTATTTTGATTAAATGTGATCTATATTATTAAATTTAATTCTTTACAATGATGCTGAATTACTTTATGGATATTATACTATTGTGATATTTAACTTTATCTAATTTCAACAAGATTATTACTTTTCATACACCCAAAATCTTATAATACTTAAAAAGAGGGTTTATTTTTTTTATTTGTGTGAATCAATAGTATTAACTGTTCGTTTTATTATGAAATAATAAATACTTCTATTAGATGGTTTTATTTTGAAGTGATTTTTGATATATTTAGAGAGTTTTTTTGATTTATAGTGAATAAGTTTAATTCTAAAACTACATCTAGTAGTTTAAAGGTTCGTTTGAAATTTTAGAATATTACTCAAAAGGTTTAAGTTTGAATCTTCATGACTACTATAAGGGGTACCACTAAAATTATCTAACTGTTAACTTTAGAGCTTAGAGAATAGTCGAGTACGCACAAACTAGTTTGAACACCCTCGATACCAAAAGAAAAAAAAAAAATTAAATTCTAATCATCTCTAAGAAAAATGAAATAAACTCATAATTAAGATTTTGGAACAATATTATAAACCCTTCTGACCTCGTTAAATTACTTAAAATCTTTCAAAAAATTAGTTATTTTTATCAATAAAACGAAAGCTGGGTGCTAATAAAATTATTCTATTTCTTTGAGGTGATTTCCTTGGAAAAAATGCAAACCCTTTTAGTGGAGATCTTCAAAGATACTCTGTTTGTGGTGAAATTTTGATTCCCACCTTCATTAATATAGGCTCACGTGAGTGAGATTTTTTTTTTTTTTTTTTTGAAGCAGAAAAATGAGTATTTATCAGCAATGAAATCACCATCATCGTGCATACACAACATAACATACCCACATGCAAGAGAGAGATGGAGTTAGAGTTGGTACTTGTTAACTTGTCTGAAACAAAATCATAAATTCATACAAAAGAGACAAAACCCTTTTGTTTCATTACAAGTTATTTCGGTTTCCTTTTCCGTGAATCACCTCCTTAAATCCTTTACCGTAGAAAAGAGAAAAACAATGGCGTTTGATTTTGGAGGTGGTGGATTTCCCTTTTACAAATGAAAGCTCTACCTCATCACATATGGCAACAAAGAAAAACAAAAATTGCTTTTCCTTTTCAGAACAAGAGTGCAAGAAATCCGGAATTCTGTTTTCTGAAAATATGAAAAACAAAAGCAAAAAGCACTGCAACTTTCTATTACTCTCCTCCTCCTCCTCCTCCTCCTCCTACTACATTACTACTACTCTATATATAGCATTGTTTTCCTACACTTTCTAGCTTTCATTAATGGTCTCAAAACATTACTCTGCAACACATAACCCAAGAACCTTTATGTGTCTGCCTGTGTTTTGTTGTTTCTCTTATACAAAATTTATTGTCTAGAGTAGTAGCTGCTCTAATGGTGGTTGAAATTTGCTCATTGAATGTCTTTTTAGAAACTCTCAAAAGAAAGTTCTCTTCTTTTACCTTTAATCTCTGCATAATATAGCCAACTTGTTCAGAGCTTTAATGGCTGCTTCAGTTTCCTTATTTGGGATTCTTTTAGTTTTTTAAAAATGGCATGAAACTTGCCAAATTAAGTGTGGCTTTTTTTTTTTTTAAATGAAAATTTTGCAGGGATTTGTAGAGTAGGTTCTTGTTTCACGGGCCGCGCCGCTTGTGTTTGTTGCTCGTGCGCCGCGAAATCCAGATCTCGAGATAGGCTCATTTGAAGATAATGCCATCTGTGTTTTTTGTTATATAAAGTTTTGTTTGTTTTAACTTTACTTTGTCCGCCATTTTCGGTTGTGTTTGGTTAACCTGCCAAGTGCCATTCTTTGGAGACCTCTCTCTATTGTGTTGAATGCAAAGCACTTGAGGGGGTTTTGTGATTGATAAGGTTGTTTTTAATGCGCTCAAAGGTGTGAAAATTGATTTCTAAGGTGTTAAAGAAGCCATAATCTCAGGAGGGTCGGTGCTGGTTTTGGCTTTTGTTTGTTGCTTTGCATTGAAACCAAGGTAATAGTCCTCAGAACCTTGTGGCTTTGATTCGTGTGTGTATCTTTCATTTGAATATTGTTTCGTTTCCATGATTTGGGGTTTATTTTATTCATTTTTGTATTGGGATTTATCCATATGGGAAGTTTAGAACATGCTAGCCAGAGTTTGTCAACTTGTTATTGGTGTTTTTGGGGTTAGAATTTGGTTCCTAGTACTTGCCCATGTTTGTAAATTGTTTATTGTGTTGAATTTGTGGGAATTGATCTTGTTATTTTATACCATTCAGGGAGAAAAACTCGGTCCGTGAATTGAGGCTTTGGTGGGTTATATAAGTGAGATTTGAGCATGCGTGATTGGTTGTAATAGAGGAAGTGTTTAGAAGAAGTGGTTTTTGATGTGGAATATTGGATCTAAGTACAAGACATGCTAGGCTCTGATGAGGAAGTGGATGATGTGTTCTTTGACTCAGCTGATTGTTTGTCGTCCAACGAGTCAGCTGTAGTGAAAGATGAATCGAGATATGGGAGATCTGAGTATGAAATTTGGATGAATGAACCGCGAAGTGTCAAGGAAAGACGCAGAAATTTTTTAAGAGAAATAGGTCTAGTTGAGTTTGCTCCTGTGAATGAGATGATTGGGTTGGATAGAATTACAGAACGCAGTGGAGCTGTTTTGAGATCTACTCAGGTAACTGAGGAAAATTTGGATTGTGAAAGAGAAATGAATCGTGAAGCCAATTGTATGGTAGATGATATGACTGAAAAAAGTGTGGTTCTTGAAGGCGAAAGCACTGAACTTTCGCTGTCTGTTGATGAATGTGGAGGAAGGAACTACGAGTCTCATTTGGAAGAATGCAAGGATGCCAATGAGAAGAAGGTAAAGAAATGGTGGAAACGTCTTGTTAGTATGAGGAGGAGAAGAGAAGATACAACTATACCTGATGTAACAAGATCAAATTCTGAAAAACCGAAAACGAATAGGATGAAGGTGAAGCAGAACAAGAAGAAGTGCACAGAGTTCACAGCTCTTTACATGGGACAAGAAATTCAAGCTCACAAGGGTTATATCTGGACAATGAAGTTTAGTCCAGATGGGCAGTATCTGGCAAGTGGTGGTGAAGATGGAGTCGTGCGCATTTGGCATGTTACATCAGAGGATGGCTCTTGCAAATCGTTTATTGATGAAGACAATTTCGGTAGCATAGTCAAAGAAGGAAAGACCATGTTTGGTAAAAAAAAGTATAGCCATGTGCCCGTTGTTGTACCTAATAAGATATTCCAGATAGAAGAGTCCCCACTGCAAGAATTCCATGGCCACACGGGTGATGTTTTAGACCTAGCGTGGTCCGATTCTAATGTGAGTACATCCCCTGCAAAATCTTTATTTGGTTTCTTCTATTGCATTTGCTGTTGATGTTAAACTAAATTGGACTTTCTATTTGCAGTATCTTCTTTCATGTTCAATGGATAAAACTGTTCGTTTATGGCAAGTGGGATGCGATAAATGCCTCGGTGTTTTCCATCACAGTAATTATGGTAAATATCACTGCAACAATCTTCTACGCTGCTCTTTTCCAGTTTCACAGTGATGCAAATTTAATCATCTGCTCTTTATGGAAACAGTGACATGCATTCAGTTCAATCCCATTGATGATAATTACTTCATCAGTGGCTCCATAGATGGAAAAGTTCGGATTTGGGGGGTCTTTGAGGAGCGAGTTGTTGATTGGGTTTATGTGAGGGACGCAATATCTGCAATATGCTACCAGCCAGATGGAAAGGTATGATTCTGGTTACCTTGCTTAAGAGTGTCTGTGAAAACGTTAGAAGATAAATGACTTCGTATGATAATTAACTTTAATTCTCTACTGCAAGCAGGGCTTTGTAGTTGGTACAGTTACAGGCACTATCCGCTTCTACGAAGCCTCTGGTAAATTCTTGTTCCAAATTTTAGAAGGTGTTATTAGTTCATTTGGAGGATCTAAGTTGATCCGTATTTTGGACGAATCCTAAATAGATTTTGTGATGGTACAGGCAATGATCTCCAGTTGGAAGCAGAGGTTCATTTTCCAGATAGAAAGAAATCCTCTGGCAACAAGATTACTGGGATTCAGGTATTTGCCCTTAAAGCTCCACCTAGCTACAATCAACTTAGCCTTAACCATAATCCTCCTTGTTATTAACATCGTCTTTCATCTCTTGTTGCAGTTTTCAAAGGAAGAATCTCAAAAAATTATGATAACTTCTGAAGACTCCAAACTTCGAATATTGGACGGGCTTGATGTCATTCATAAATTCAAAGGTAGATATTCGATATCTAAAACGTTTTGAAATGTTTCCACTTTGATTTGCATTTCCATTATGTCATATTCTTATTATTTTTACTACAGCCTAAAGGTAGAATCAATTCAATCCTTTGACAAACTTAATGTTGTTCTGCAAAATTTTAGTTCTAGATCTTGTTACAGCTGTTAATAAACCTTATACTACCAATTAAGCAAAGTTTCTAACATTCAATTCACTGAAAGAAGACTTGAACTTTCCTCTCTGAATTACCATTTTTTTACTCGAGAAATCTCAAAGACAAGTCAAACAGTAGTTTTGAATAATATTAATATTTACCCCATTCATACATACATTGCATCTAAAACTTTCTTGATCTGAAGAAAGAAAGGGAATCAGATCAGCTTGACTAGATAAAAAATATTTGCATTTACGCGCTTTCCCATCAGCCTTTACAGCTGGACTTATTGCTTGTATACAGCCAGCTTTTACCTTCATGGATGGTGCAGTCATTCTTGGTTTTCTAGTTTGCACCTTTTTCAATGGCAAACACTTTACATAGGCTCACATCTTAAGGTTTTAATCTTATGATGATCTGTGCCATGTAGTTGAAGCTTAAATATTTTACTTTCTATTGAATCAACGTGGGGCAATCTTCCTAAAGTAAAATATATTTTATATTCCAGGTCTTTCAAAGTCTGGAAGTCAGATGTCGGCTTCGTTTAGTACAACTGGGAAACACATAATTTCAGTCGGACAGGATTGTCGCGTTTATGTCTGGAGCTATGACGACTTGTGTTTCCCATCGTCCAAACACGCGAAATCTATTCGTTCTTGCGAGCATTTCGTTGCCGAAGGTGTATCTGTTGCAGTGCAATGGTCAGGCATGGGGACAGAACACGGTATTCTGTGTAGTGGTAGTAGTTGTAATAGTCTTCAGCGTTGCTCACAGAGATGGGATAACCTGGAGAGTTCATCCTGGAATAGAGAATCTGAGCGATTCTCCCTCGGAAGTTGGTTCTCCATTGACGGCGCGTGCAGGGGCTCAGCGACATGGCCTGAGGAGAAACTTCCGCTGTGGGAAACAGCAGAAGGTCTATATTCTCAACATCAACATCAACATCAACAATGCCAGAGTAATATGTACGATATCGCGGCAATGTCGGAAACTTGGGGGCTTGTCATTGTAACAGCAGGATGTGATGGAATGATCAAGACCTTCCACAACTATGGATTACCTGTGAGACTGTAAATGTTGCTGCCCATATCGAGTTCTTCGTATCTTAACAATCTTCCTGTATCTATTTAGCATGGTAAAAATTTTCACTAGCTCAAGTCTTTTGACATGCTTTGTAATTGTTTTATTCATGTCATAGGGCTTAATTTTGGTCTTGCTCTTTTTGAGATGGACCAATTGATTTTTCATCTAGGCCAGTTTCATTTTTCTTGTGAATACTACTTAAGAGTTATATATGACAACAAAAAAGAAGAAATACAATTATATTTTAGACTCATTTTATTTGTTTATTGAGCGTTTATATATATTCAAAAGAAAAAAAGAGAAGCAAATATAAAGTAATAAATATTTAATTTAATACTTTTAATCTCAATATCATTAAAGAATAAATTGTTGCGATATTTGTGGCTCCCTCTCCTATTTGTTCTCATGTGAAATTGAAAACTGTTTAATAAAGAATACAATTGTAAATATGAATATAATTTAAGAGTCTATTAGGAATTGAAACATGAATCATATTAGGCAAAAAATATCCCATATGATACCTATAAATATAGGGGTAAGAACCAATTCAAAGTTGTAAGAGAATATGAGAACACAAGGTATTTGATGTAAGGGTTATTAAACATCATGGGGAGAGCGTTTAAGAAATTGGGATCATTTCCACTCTAGGTATTAGGTTGAGTGTGGTTAGAAAATATGATTGTTTCTGCTTTGTTTTATTTATTAGGTTTATGGTGTTGTGTACTCTTGTATATTGTGTTCATAAACTATAACGAATTTCTCTCATCCATGAATATAAGCAGGTTATGCCGAATCACATAAGTATCAATGTTTTAAAACTCAACCTGGGGTGAAACCTGGCAAAGTTGTCGGATCCCAGGTTGACCGGTTGACAAAAACTTCTAAAATTCAACAAAAACACCCCTAAAAATTTGTTAAGTCCATATAGGTTTGAAATTTAGCAAATATACCCCAAATACAAATCGGCCGACGACTAGTTGGCGGTGGCGACACCCCAGATGCAACCCCAATTGTCCCTTGAGCCCATTCCCCTTAAAATATACCCAAGATCTGGCCGAAATATGATCGGTTTCAGCCAGATCTCACCGACGCCAACGTCAGCATTCCAGGCCAGATCTCATTGACGTCGGCATCGACAACCCTCCCCATCACCCATAAATCTCTCCCCTTTTCCTCCCAACCAAAACCCACCCCACCCCACCCCTATTAGCCTCGCCAATCGCCAGTTGTTGCCACTACCAGTTTTGTTAGATTTTCGGTCGATTTATTCACCGGAAATCAACTCTGTCACCACCATTGCATTCACTGACACTTTCTCTTCAAAAGCCCCAACATTCCAATCGTTAATTGTTCACCGATAATCCTCCAAAATCATCAAAGGCTGGGTTTTAAAACATTGGTAAATATTGTGTCTCTTTTTATAGTGCGATTGTATTCTCACCTTATTAATCTCGAATGTATTTTTTCCGCTTTGGGATCTCCTAACATAAATCTATTATAATTTTCGTTTAGGATGTCAAATGTTTGGATATATTGTTAATAACATTTTATTATAAATTTATAATCTCTAAATAAGAACAAAATCTACCATATAAATGATATAATGATATACCTAAAACTAATAAAATTTTATCAGTAAATAATTATTTTAAAAATTAAAAATTATATAGATCGTTAAATATACATAAATTTTGGGTGCGTAGTATATTTCATTATCTGTTAAGGGGTGTGTAGAAAATAATCTAGTGAATTTCATTTAAGATATGAATACTTAATGTTATATCATACTTATTAAGAAGTCGTGGTAGTATAGTGGTGAGTATTCCCGCCTGTCACGCGGGTGACCCGGGTTCGATCCCCGGCAGCGGCGTTTAATTTAATTTTTAAAATTTTAAATCAAAAGGCCCAATCATTTAAAAGCCAAAGGCCCATGGAAAGCCCAAGCCCACAGTTATTTGAAGGAAGGGGATTTATTCTGTGGTTCTTATGGTTTTATTGTGTTGCATAGACAGCCACACATCATGCTACTTTAGAGTGCAGAGCTCTAATTTAATTATACATTTTAACTAAACACAAAAACTCCATCCTAAAATTGGGTTTACCGTTTGATGCCTACAAATTTATAATAGCAATGGTATGATTCACATTCCTTTAATATTAGTGAGAGTAAATAATACCACTTTCGAAAAATTATCCCGAATTTTATATCTTAAATGATTTGTTACTTTACGCGACATTGACATATCATTTATTATATCATCATTTTATGTACCAGTTAATAACATTTTTATTCTTGAGGTTTGAAGAAAGTGTCACTTTAGTCTAGTGAAATCCGAAAAAGTCATTACCGTCTTTAACGAAATACTATAATTGGATAAAATTAAATAGTATAAGGGTATAGTTGTCATTTAACACTTTTAAGAATAATAAAATGCAATTTTTTTTAATTTACAAAATTATTTATGAAGAAAAAGAAAAACAATAAAGGACAGTAAAATTATAAATAACATTTTGATATGAGTTTGGTTATGTTTTTGAAGGTACGGATTTTAAAATGTTATTAATTTCTTATAAATTCTATTCAATTATATATATATATATATATTAAACTGTGTTTAGCATTTTAGTGAGCCCCCTTAGTTTTGAAAATACCTTCTAACCCATGTGTATTTGCATTGCCCTGCTAGTTTTGAAAAGATGACTCTAACCCCTATATTTGAGTTTTTGACTGATTGTTATTTTTACTATTCATCCAATTCAATCAAATCTAACACCTAAAATCTATCAACAATATTGAGAAGTTAATACATTTTATAGAGATTAAATAGATGAAATTATTGATAAATTTGAAGGTTAAATTGATGACATTTATGAAATTAGCGAATACTCACTACAAAAAAATACTAAACACACGAGAGTTAAGGATTATATTTTAGAAAACAATGACTTTACAAAAAAGGTTAAATAATCGGGGTTTACCATAAAAAGAGCTCTAATTCTTTTTTTTTTTCAATTAAATTTTCGTACTAAAATTCTGGAAATAAAAAAGAAAAAAATTTGAAAAGGAGGGACCATGTAGATATTTTTCTAGTAATTTGAGCATGATATATTTTTACAAAAAATAAAAATAAAAAAGGTCATTTTCTCATTAAAAAAAAAAAAAAAAAAAACATTATCCAAGAGAACACAAAACCAAACCAGCACAAAACTTGCATATTTTTGGCGGCAGCATTTGCAAAGTTACAAACTTTGAGTGTTTTTTGAGTTTGCTAATGGCAATTTCAACACCCTTCATCTCTTCTTCTTCATTCAACTTGTTTTCCTTTTCGTTATCTTCTTCTTTGGGTTGTTTCAGCACCCATCAAGTTACTTTTTTGAGGACTAATCCTCATCATAATCATAATCATTATAGTCATAATCATGGAACCTCAAATGGACGGTTGTTGATCAACTGTTGCTCCTCTTCTGAAATGGGTTCCTCTCAGAAACCCATAAATATGAGGTAAAGTGTGTGTGTTTGTGTGTTTTTTTTTTTTTTATATTTAATTTTTTAAGTCTGTGGCTTGTAATGCTATATGCATGTTTGGTGTTTGTGAAAATGTCTGTGTGAATTTTATGACGCGGGGTTTTGATTTTGAGATAGCTTTTGATGTTAGGTGTTACTGGTTTTGCTTTATGTTTTACTTTGATGAAGTTTTGTTGATGGAAAAGACTTGCAGAGAAGAACATGGGAATTGATTTTGTGAACATTAGTGGCTTTTCGAGTTTTGTTTTATGCTAAGATAGTTGATTAAGTTAAGTTTGTTATCGTAGTTCTAAGACTGAAGGTTTTAGATTTTTGGGAATCTTAGCTTCAGCTGGCTTTGATGAAACAGAGAGAAAAATAAGTGGAGAAAATCTATTGAGGCTAGTGAAAGATATTGTGATTGAGCTGAAGTGAGAACACTAAAGCTACTCTATTATGTTTTTGTTGGAAATTGGGATGATGAGAAGTTTAAAAAACAAGTGTTGCACTTAAACAAGAGGAGGTAAATGCAAATCTTTTGATATAATTATTGTTCTACTTGTTGCAGGCCATTGAAATAAATAAATTCTTTATGATTATTGGGTTTTTTAAGCTTGTATTGGGTTGTGATAGGAGGGCAAATGATTTAATCTTCATAAGGTTCTTGGAAAATTGGATCAATGAACTTTAAATATGCATAATAGTCTGTCAGCCATCTATAATTGGGTCCAATATATTTTTTTTTATGATATCTAGAGTTCAAAAGCTCTGTACTACAGTTATTAGATTAATGATAATACTTCTTAGTGAAAAAAGGTTGGATTCAATGAGGATCAAATTGAGTTGGAAGTCGAAGAAAGAAGTTTTCTGTGCAAAGAAGCTGTAATGCAGGGGATATTTGCACTTTCGATTAGGATATTATTTTCCATGAGGAAGACTGTACTTAACATTAAAGGTCTTACTAATTTAATGCTTTATAAACTTTAGTGACTTTTGAGTTAGTTATGTGAAGGTAGTGGACTAATTTAAGTGGTTCTTTTAGTATTTGCGATTTGTGGATGTTATTACTGGTCAAGGCGCTCAGAATGAAGGTTTTATGTTTTTGGGAATCTTGGCTTCAGTTGGCTTTGATGAAATTTTAATAATTTAAAAAAAAAAAAAAAATTAATCATACACCTTCAGTTAACTTCCATGTTCTTCATTATTTCAATTTTTGTAGCGGATTATAATATTAGGTGCTGTCTGAGATTAACCAGAACTAGTTAATAGTTGCTGTACATCCAAAGTATTTTCTCCCTTTCTTCTATACAATTTCTGGCTTTACCCAAAAAAAAGAGAGGCTTGGAAGATAGGGAGTCTTTCCAATAGTTGTGCTTGCTCTTGGATGGAATGATTGTTTTTTTATTTTTTTAATATATACGATATATTACATTTACATAATATGAACATCTTGTTGTATAGAATGTCCTTTGTTAAACAAATTGTTAGGTCATTCTCCTGTGGGTGATTTTTTGTTGTTCAAACTTTGTCTTCCATATTCTTTTGGACTCAGGGTAATGCATTAAAATTATTGATTTTTCTTATTGTAGTTGTTCTGTTGTGAAGGTATTTGGTGATTCTTCTTTTTTATGATACCCTGATTGTGAGTGTAATTTGAAGTCAGTGTATTACAAACTCAGATAAGGAATTTCACCTGTTTCTTTTTTTTTTTTTTAAACTTTTGGAATTTAAACATTAGTCCTGGGTTATCAACTTTGTTAACTTCATTGTTTTTAACAGGCAGCCTCAAATGTCATCTATGTCTCCATTTGGAGTGACATTCAATGAAGCTGGCATGTCTAAGTCATCCTTTAAATGGCAAAGGGTGTTGCTTAAAGTGAGCGGAGAAGCACTTGCGGGAGATCATACCCAAAATATTGACCCAAAGGTTGAATTTGTTATGTTACTTTGTGGATTTCTGTCCTCTTTCTTCTTATGGTTTTTGAAGGCTCTAATTTGTCTTTAAATATAGATTACGATGGCCATTGCCAGAGAGGTTGCATCAGTGACTCGTCTTGGCATTGAGGTACTTTAGATTTATTTGCTTGACAATATATTTTTTTTAATTTATTCTTTTTTCCTTGTAAGTTAGTGGGTATCTAGACAGTTTTCTTTTATTTAGTTTAGAAACATTGCCAGTTCTTATATTTTCAATTTCATGTCATAGTACTGATTTTTTCTTGAACTATAATGTAATCATAAGCTCAATGAGTTGTTTTTCGCTTTAGAGTATGTTACTTTGAGTAGTGCAATTTAATTTGAGTTTTATACAGATAGAAATTGTAGAATATTGATACAACTGTTTAACTATTTGGGCAAGGGAAGCTTGTGATGTTATGTAGTAAAGAAGCATAAGTTTTTGTTCTTGAACTGTTTGGAGCAGTCAATTATTTGTTTGAATGATTTGGGTAGCAGCTTCCCATTTTCTATTCTTTTTATTATTTATAGCTTGGGAGTTTGCCTCTAATAGGTTGTGAACTCCAATATTGGTAGTTAAATTGTCAGCTTTCAGTGCATTGTGTCTAAAACATTTTTTGGAAAATGTTTCAGGTTGCAATTGTGGTTGGTGGGGGAAACATCTTCCGTGGATCCTCTTGGGCAGGATGTAGTGGTCTTGATCGCTCATCTGCAGATTATATTGGGTAATTTTTTAATCTGGATTCACTGAATGCATATTTGTTTAACCTAGAAAGGTATTTCTTTAGTTAAACAAAGAACGACTGAAGTTTAATTTCCATTTTGAACTGTTTTCATTTCTTGCAAATTAACTTGGAATTGATCCCTTTAATGAAAAGATAATCATAAGTGCCTGTGCCACCCTTACTTGGATGAAAATCTGAAGTGGGGTTTAGGTAATATGGTAATTGAGCTTTTTATGTATGGATCTGTCAAAGCCACTTACAGTTTTGAGGATGGAAGAACTGTGTCACTGTAGATGAACAGCATTAGTTGAAGTTTTATGGCTGGAAGTACTTCTTAGTTTAGAACTTGTTGAACAAGTATGGAAGGTCAATAGATTTGTAGGTATTTAAAAAAAAAAAAAAAAAAAAAAAGACTAGTTGAAGTCTTGCATGATGACCCCTTGTTGCTGCTTGGATCTGCTCTATACAATTCTTTATGGCTTTCCTACTTTCTGAGATCGCATTTATAATCTCTAATGTTTAGTACTATGAGACAAACCTGTTATGCCGAACCTTTTTCTGTTTCATTAAACATATGGGTGTTTAGTTTCATCTCTAGACGGCAAATGAAATTTTATTCAAGGATGAGAGTCTTACTCAAGTTGCATCTTGTCAATTAACTTGCCTTAGTCTCTATTGAATTTCATAGGATGTTGGCTACAGTCATGAATGCTATATTTCTTCAAGCAACAATGGAGAGTATTGGAATTCCCACCAGGGTACAGACGGCATTTCGCATGTCTGAGGTTGCAGAACCATATATACGTCGAAGAGCTGTGAGACATTTGGAGAAAGGAAGAGTTGTGATTTTTGCAGCTGGAACCGGGAACCCATTCTTCACCACAGACACCGCTGCAGCCCTTCGCTGTGCAGAAAGTAAGTCTTGATATTTTGGCATATTGAAACTTGAGGGTAATATTATAATCAAGGACAAAAGTACTGCAAGGCATCTTGACACTAGGGACCTTATGAACTTGATCACAAATTAATCCTGAGTTACTGCTGGATTTTGTATCTGTCTCTTAACACCAAATGATTTCTCAGCACAAAGGTAATTTCATTATTTCAAGAATTTAATGTCAAAATTCAATTGTTGATCCAGTTAATGCAGAGGTGGTTCTGAAAGCTACAAATGTTGATGGGGTGTATGAGGATGATCCCAGGCATAACCCAAATGCTCGACTTCTTGATACTCTAACATACCACGAGGTGACTTCTAAAGATCTTTCAGTAATGGACATGACTGCCATTACTTTGTGCCAAGAAAATAACATTCCCGGTAAGTCTGGATGATCTGTTATTAGTAAATGTTGGTTGTCTATTTCATAACCAAATAGAAATGACACTTATTGCTCTGAGCTTGTTTCCTTGTTGCAGTTGTTGTCTTCAACCTAAGCCAAGCAGGCAACATCTCAAAAGCAATAAAGGGAGAGAAGGTTGGTACATTGATTTGTGGGACATGGAATTCAACAGTGGCAAGGACATGAGCCAGAATGTCATTGCTTTTTGATTTGAAGGTCATTTATTACTGAAGCAAAAGTGTGTTTGGGTGATTACAGTGGCCTAGAGTAAGAGTTAATACCTTAAAAACAATCGATACACCATGATCCCAGTTGACTAGGTAATGCAATTATAATGTGATTTTGTACATAATTTGTTGATGCAGAACCACGGAACTGCCGAGAGTTTTTGTAGCACAATAGTTATAAGTTCATTCGTTTCAATTCGATGTGATTAAAAAAACTGGTTCTGACTCTGTTTATCATTACTGTTACTGTTACTGTTATTATTGTTTTTCATTTTTACTATAATGTTTATATTGCCGTTTGTAATATTTTTGCAAGAAATCTGTATCCGCAACTTCAACTTCAATCGACACGACTTTGGCAGGTGATTCTTATTTGAATACAATCATTTTGTTCATGAAATTGTTTGATTTTACAGTACTTTACAGGCAGAAAACGACCCAGAAACCAGCAGCTGCAAAATTGTTTAAATTGTTTGGGAGGTATCTAGATCTTCTTCTTCTTGTTGATTCTTTGTTCTATTTAGCTAAACCAAGGTGGGTCATGGTGCAATAGATAATATGATGAATGGTTCAAAATGAAACTAGCCGCAGATGAGGACTTATATTGCCTAACAAACTTAAATTGACCAATAATTTAGGCTATGAAAGCTAGCTGTTAAACCATTTTACATGTGGTGATGTGCATATTTTGTCTGTGAATCCTTGACATTTCAAATGCTGAAGATTTACATAGCACATGGTTGGAATTCGAATTGCTGGATTTCTGTCATTCAAAATTCATTGAATAATTTAAGATTTTTTTCATATGATATATCCTGACCCTTGTGCATTAATAATTTTCTACTTGTGCATTGACGTGACATACTCTTATTGGTTTGTATTGTAAGAGAGTGCACGAAAAATGTTCTCACAAATCTAACCCATGTTTGGTGGCATTGGCTAAAGATAATACATGTTTAAAACGTCGCAAAAATATTTAAATCGGACTATATTTATATTTATATATATATATATATATACAGTCGGAATTTCCGTCATTTTGAGATATTAACGAAATGATGATTTAATAAATAATATTTTAATGTCAAATAAAATAACTTACTTTTTTAAATGAGAATTTTAGGATGTTTTTATGATGTAATATTAAAAAAGAAGAAGAAAATAACCTGTTTGTGTTCCTTTTACTGTGGATGAAGCCTGAAGGGGCTACGCGACTTTGAATCTTTGACCATGCCAGCTAGGTGGAACGGATTTTAATCATTTGATTCAGAATAAAATAATTATTTATTTTATCTTAAATAATATGAAATAATTTATTCATAAATATATAAATTGAAAGAATGCATATCTAATGAATTCCATCATGCTAATATATGATTTTATTTTAATGATTTCTAAACAAGAAATTATTAATTTTTTTTTTATGCCAAATTATAAAAATTTGTATCTAATTAGCCATGGTCCACAAAAGAATTAATTTTGGAACTACCCCAATAAATAATGTAAACAAAATAGAATAACATAATTAATTAATTACAAAAACATCTCTAATTATTTTGCTAATTAGAGAATTAGCCTCCACTAATCTTGTTTAATCACAAATCTAATCGACCTCTTCCCTCTCTTTACAATTACAACATCTCAACTATAATTACAAAAAGGAAAAAGAAAAATATAAATCTAACGCAACAAAATCTAGCAAAAATTTCCAAATCTAACATAAAAAAAAAAAAAATTAAAATTAACCAAAATTGAAAAAGAAAAGCTAAAAATTCCAAATTTGACCAAAAATTTCAGGTGAAAAAATGGGAGAGCCCATAGAACCTGGAAACAACCCCGACCCGGGGCTCGCCAAGAACGAAGGAAACGAATACGGGTCACCCGCCGGAGAAAAGTACCGTTCTGGGATCAGCGGCGGCAGCATCGACGGCGAAAGTATCCCTGGAATCTGACCCACATCAATCCCTTCCTCTACCATCTCTTCAGAAGCCTCTACACTCAAAGCCTTCTCCTTTGGACTTATCACTTTCTCAGTGGAAGCCAGCCTGGCAGCGGGGGACACATCTCCTCCGGTGCAGAAGTCGTCGGAGGAGACCCCCGTGAGGCGTTGGACGGTGGTCATGAAGTCGGAAACGGCGACGTTGATGATCTTGGGAGAGACCGAGTAGATTATGATGGGCTGCTGAGGGAGGGGTGGCTTGGGTGGTTTCTTGATTTTGTGAGAGTTTTTGTTGATGCTGAGAGGCGGAGGACGTGGGCCCTGGATGGGTGACGGGGGCTTCTTGGCGTCGGAGGGGGGCTGAGGAGGAGCATGGTGTGATGGGTCGTTCATGGAGGAGAAATGAATGAATAATAATAAAAAGTTTTTGGTGTTGAGAAAATGAATAGTTTTGTGAGAGTTTGGTCATTGGTGTTGTAGTTGAGAGACTGCCTGTGGTGGACCTTTGACTTGGACTTGGAGGTGTTTTTGGGAAGACCATTAAAATTACATATGTATACTTTCAAAAAAAAAAAAAAAAAAATTAAATTTAGATGCCAAAATTAGATGAAAAATCTTAGTAAGGGACGTTGACACGTGGCTATAGAATATACGATATGGTTAATTTATATTAAGCTTTCTATTTATCAGTGATTCAGTGTACAATCTTGGGTGAAATTTTATGTCGTATAATGTCACACACATTGCTTGTAATACTAGAAACCTAGTTAAACCCTCTAGAAATTAAAAAAAAAAAAAAAAGGGTTATTTCCACTAGGCCTAACCAATTTATGATAAAATTTTATTAAAAAGTGTTATCTCGTCTTTTAAGAGATTCGTTTTTTTTGTTCCTAAGGAAAAAAAAAAAAACTCTTAAAACCAACATGTTGGTCTTACATTTTATCTTCTCGATGATCATATATTATTATTGTCGCCAACACTAGCCGATTTCCATTACATTTGTTTGTCGAAGGTACAATCTTGATCGAATTTGAACCCTATACAAGGACATATATAATATGGCTTATAATCATAGGTTGATGTGTACTGAGGTCTTTAATATTGTAAAGTTTTCGTTGAATGAGCTATTTGTAAGTTCACCAGAGTTATGTGTAACAAGAGTTGCATTAGGGGTTAGTGTGTAATTATGTTGATTTAAAGGCAAAATGATAATTTGAGGAAATCAGTCACATTTTCTCGTTAATTAAGTTAATGACATTAATTTCCGTAAGGTTTGATTAAATAATAAAATCTTTTTGAGGTTTTTAAAATAACAAAAATCCCCTTATTGTGAAGTTTTAGGTGTTAAAATAAACGGTAGGAAGACAATTTGATAAATATTTATCAACTTATGATAGTTTAAGTTCTAACAACTCACTAATGATTTACTAACAGAAGAGATGCTTTTTATTTTATTTTAGACATCACAGGAGGATTTTGATATGATATTAAACCTTAGGGGATCAATGTTTCAACTCTATTAATTGATTAAAACCAAGGGAGGTGGCTTTTAATTGTAAATTTTTTTTTCCCAATATGTTAACACGTAAAACTAACAAAACCACCCTTATTTTCATATTGAACAATTAAATTTTTATAAATTTTGTTCATAAACTTTTGTATACTGTTGTGTGTGATTTTTCAATTAAGCTCGAAGAAGTCGGAATTTCTTGAGGATGTAGTTCGACTCGAAATCAGCCCGGCTCAATATTTGTCCGACCTAGCATAAGCTCATCGAGATACAGCTTGACCCAACATAAGCTAGTCGCGACTAATCCTGATAGTTGTTAGAGCAGATCACATATAAGCTTTGATCCTAGATATTTAAGAAGAGATTAGATTAACAGTAATGATAGCGTGATCTTAGTGCTTAATCACAAGAATATCAGAGTTGCACTTTCATTTTGATTGTAATTCATTTAATTAAGCTCTTTTCTTTGTAAGAAACTTGTATATAAACCACCACCCCCCCACCCCCCAAATGATGGGAGAAGGGTTAGCAAATTGTTTTAGTTATTATAATATTTCTTCTAAGCTCTCTAAGCAATAAGAAATACAGTGGATGTAGGCTCAAGATTCAAACTTGCCGAACCACTTTAAAAATCCTTTGTGTTTCTTTACTTTCTCTGCATTTAAATTCATTACATTGCTGATTTTAATTAATCACGCACAAATTGGTTCCGGTTCCACCAAGGTCAATCAAATCACTCTAATTAGTGTAAATCTTGCATCAGCATTTTGACACTAGAAGGAGGGCCTCCGCCTACTTTCAATATTTCTAGCAAAAAACAAGCAATTTCAGTGAATTGATCACCTAAGAAGAGGGTGGGAGTCGGGCTCCTGCTTGAAGGTCCTGAAGGGAACCCAATCCAAGCTGTAGTTAGATTTGGGCTTACTGCCTCAAACAATGAGGCAGAATATGAGGCTATGCTCACGGGGATTCGCCTTACCAAAGAAATAGGGGCAGAGTCAATTAAGATATACGGTGACTTCTAGCTCGTGGTCCACCAAATCTCCATAGAATATCAAGCCAAAGAGGACATAATGACATCCTATCTCCGGTAAGTAAAAATTGAGCTTGAGCATTTCAAGAGTTTTTCAGTCCTGTAGATCCCGAGGGAGTAGAATTCAGTGGCCGATGCCTTAGCTAGCCTGGCTTTAGCGATGAGCAAAGAAACAACTGATTCTATCCTTGTCAAATTCCTCCCATGTCTAAGCATCCTCGCATCACAAGAATAAGTTTTGGTAACAGGGCAAAGGTATAGTTGGATAGATTCAATAACCGCGTACCTGAAAGATGGGACAGTGCCTGAAGGAAGAAAGGAAGCTAAGATCCTTCGAGCAAAATTAGCTCGATATACGCTTATTAACGACAAGTTGCATAAGTGAGGCTATAACTCCCCGCTCTTGTGATGTGTTGATCATGAGGATGCTGAGTACATCCTGAAGGAAATTGATGTGTTTTTTCACAACATGCAAAGTGTAGCAAGTGCACTAGTCGCAAAAAGTAATAATGTGATGAATAGAGTATCGTTCCCACGAGAATTGCGTGTCAAGTACTAATTTTCCTAATCCGTATCAAGTTGGAGCAAACAAACAATGTTTGGATTTGCGGGAGACAATCAAGCTGAAGTTTAAAACAAAATCCACAACGTAATTTAAAAGCTAACTAATGAAGGCAAAATCAATTCAAGAAAAATATCAATTAAGACAAAGCGGTTAGGGTTTTGACTTCACTAGGATTTTCTGGTTTAATCTACGATTTCTGTTGCTTCTAAGTTCACATGCAAGGATTATAAATGGGACACCCTAAGTTGTAAAACATACATTCTCAGGCTATATTTTCCTACTTATCCCTATTAAGCTTCCGCACCCACAAAATGAAGGTTAATAGTTCCAAGTCTGTTAAGCTAAGTGGAATCCTAAATTGATTTCATGGATCTCCGAACTTATCTCTAGCGTTTAATCAATCAATGGTATATACCCTAAGAGGCTAATACATGAATCACTTCTCAGTCTCATCATGCTCAATAATTGGTTGCAATTAGAACAAGAGTAAACACATAATCCAAGCAATAGAATGTAAAAGCAACATCAATTTATAGATTAGACATTAAAATCCCAATTACATCAAAACCCTAACCCAAAGTGAGTTAGTTCATACTAAAAATAAAGCAAATCAAAAGAAAAACTATAGAAACAAAGTTCAACATACTGGAAAAACAAAAAGAGAATAAAATCTTCCCTATTTGATGAACCCAAAGGCTTCCAATCTCCAATTTTTCTCCTCCCTTTCCAAAAAAGTGTCAAACCCCCTTTTAAAATAAACAAGTCCCACTTATATAGTCAACCCCAAAACCCTAAGACTCCTCCAATACAATTAAAACGCATAGTTTTAATAATTGAAAAATTACAGACTTCGTCGTGACGAACTTTTTTGAAATTACGAAACTGCCCTCCACTTGCTTCCTTGCTTGAATCTTCAATCTTAGTGATCTCTAATAGGAACAAGCTTCATAATGCTTCGAATCCGCATCAGAACTTTCCCGAATCCTGAAATTCACTTGATTCTGGGTCCAGAAACTCAATTCTGCTTAGTTTTGCTCTAATTGCACGTTTTGGCCTGAAACGTGAAATATATGAAACTAAGTAGCAATTCAAGCACAAACTTAAGAAGAAGTATCCAAAATCCAACCAAAAAGCATAAATAAAACAGTATAATCCTAGGATTATCAAATACCCCCAAACTTAAGGTATGCTTGTCCTCGAGCATCAGGCATAAGACTCGACTAAAGAATAACAACTAACCAACATAAAAAGACAACAAAATTGAAAATGAAAATTTGAAATCAAAATCAAACACAAAGATATGCCTAGAATTGATGTAAGTCTCAAAAGTTGTTGAAACATTATTACGAGAAAATGCTTAACACTCCAAGAAGTTATAAGTTGATTAACTATCTTTCTCTATCGGCCTCCTGAGCAGGTGATCCCCACTTCAGTCCACCTTTCGACTTCTCGGATTATTTTATGCAGAAATGCAAAGTTTATCAAATGGTGGTAGACTCCATAAGCTTAAGTATCGAACTACTCTCCACTAATGTGGACTAGACATCACTAAGGATCAAAAGATCTTTGCAAGCTTGTAACATTAGGCTCGGTTAGTGGGTTCCAAGGAAAAGGATAGAATAACAAAGTAAGAAAACTCGGTTTTCCTAATACAAACACTAGGAGCTACATCAATCTCCGCTTTCTTTCTTAACCAGCAATCAACGTGTCAACCATTTTATAACCCTCAAACAAATGCATTTCTTAATTTTGATTCTGAATTGAAACTCTCAAATTTCTATTTTTTTTTTTTTTTAAAAACAACATCAATTTATTGAGGTCAATTACCCCTTCTTCTTGCCCTTTTTGCGACCCCCAAACTTATGATTTTGGTTCATCAAATTCTCACACAACTCTCAAAGCTCTTTTGTGTCCTACATTAGGTCCATAATTCTCTTAAAGGGTGTGAAATGTGTTTAGGGTGAAAGGTATTTTTGGTTGCACAAGAAGAATAGGGTAGTGATGAGCTTAGAAGACTCGAATGGGTGACTAGGAAAAAAAATTATTCATGGTCGGCCGGACAGGCTCAAACATTTCGAAAAAAAAAATGCCTAAATCATTTCCTCAATAATGTCTATTCCTAGAATTTCGCTTCAAGCATTTCTCAACTAGGTTCTAGAGTCCATCAACATTATTAAGACTTCACCTAACCACATAAAATGTTTCTAAGCATGCCGAAAGAATGAAAATGGTGGTTGAACCTGACACGACCCTCCTTACCCCATAAGCCCTGGGCGCACCTATGAGACTCGGGCGGCCGAGACGTGCCGTGTAGGAATTTAAAAACCTGTATTCTAAATACGTTTTTCATAAAAACAATGTCACACACATT